AAGGCAACTTCAACTCTCAGAAATAATCGAAGGAGAAAGATACTTTGGTTGTGGATATCAACCAGTCCCCTAAATCTTCTACAAAGCAGAAAGGCAATTCTTCTAATAATCACTTTCAGAAAAAAAAAAGATTTTAAAGATGAGCACTTCATCCTGATCCTCAAGTCTCTGATAAAGACAAAGAAGATCAAGCTCCCTGATTTGAGGCGACCTGAAGAAGTGTCGAGGATAAATGATTCTAACTAATGCATGTACCACAGGATAGTGTATCACCCAACCAAGACATGCTATATCCTAAAAGATAAGATCCAGGCTTTGCTGGATGCAGGTGTTATGACTCTTCAGGCGAATCAGAAGAAGGTTTTAGCAAACATGGTCTCGTATAGTTTGGAGACTTTGCGAAAGTTCAAGTTTAGGACGATGTGAAACCAATTCCTCAAACAGAAACCAGGGTCATGAACCTCGATCCTCATTAGCAGAAGGAGAAGGGTATGGTTCCTTATACCACTCCCGAAGGTGAAGTCATGTGCGTTCTTCCTGACCTACTAGTGGATGGGCAATGGACATGAGCATGCTCGAAGAGATCCAAATCCAAGCAAAAATCCTGCAATGTTGTGTCTATCATTCTTTACGAGGAAGTTGAAACTACATCCCTCAGCAGTTCTGAAGATGGGAGGCCAGCATTCACCACACAACTTGTGGAGATATCAGGAACCTATGGAGGAAAGGGGTATTTAAAGAAGTACCCTGAAGTAGTAGTTGCACCGCCAAGACCTGGGAAGGAGGTGGCGGATAAAATACAAGTGTCTCCCAATAATCCTAAGATGAAGGAACTTCGTTACAACAAGGCAGTCAGGAAGGATGTTCCAGAGAGCTTGAAGGGTCCTTTTCACTTTGATGTGTTGGCTCAATTAGCCAACATCCCGGCAAGGATTACCTTGTTTGAGCTCTTATGCTTATCGCGATCGATAAGAAAAGCCCTCCGTGAAGCATTGGTGGATAATGAGACCTTCCTTGCTCACATTCCACCAAACTCGATAGAGAAAACACTGGAGGCCTGCCCTCAATGTCGTCAAGTCTTTCAAGGATGGATGCCATGCATTACTTTTTCTCCGGAGGATATGCATGTGAGAAATCCTAAGCATGATAGGCCCTTATACTTCACAGGGTATATCAGTTCTATTCGGGTAGATCGAATTCAGGTTAACCCTGATTCTGCCTTGAGCATCATACCTTTGAGGCTCATTCGCCATCTTAGGATCCCACTTCTTCGATTGTCAACAACAGGAACCACTATTTATGGCTTTAATACTTCCAATACTCGTCCTCTAGGCAATATCAAACTCAAATTCCAAATGGGTGACTTAAGGGCAGATGTCACCTTCTACGTCATTGATGCAGAGACGTCTTATAATTTGTTATTGGGTCGGCCTTGGATCCATAACAATTTGATTGTTCCATCCACTCTACATCAATGCATGAAATATGTAGATGAGATCGGCAAAATCAAAACAGTGGTCGAAGAAAAGCAACCATTCAAGAGAGTTGAGAATTATTTTACAGATTCCATCCACTACCTTGATGATGAGCCAATTGAGGTACCACTAGTTGAGGACCTCGATAGCGGCAATGAGGTTGATACTAAGTTTGAGTGTGAATAGGGTCTTGTTTTCAATGACATTGAACCCGTCGTAATTGGTCTTGAGAGTCTGGATGTAAATGACGCTGCAGATGATGACATCGAAGTTATCTTTAATAACAATGATGCTTTAGCTTACTTATCGTGTATTGAATTTAACTCTGACATGCCAGGTACAAATGCCAACATATTGTCAGATCCTCTACCATGATTATATGCCGAATCTAATTAACATTTGCCGATTTAATCCTCCTTTGGGACAAGTCAGCGACAGAGTGAATCTTCACATGCAGTCTTTATAGTACCTGCCATGAACAATGGCCAAGGAGATATTATATTTGGACAGAAATAAGACTCTTTACGGACTCTTTGGGAGGAATCTGAAGAAGAAGAAAAAGCTCCTCAATTCTCATATTTCAGGCTAACTACACATCGCATCATGGAGAAGATGAGATACAATTTCTCTCACGCGAAAGGCTTAAACCTTGGGAAAGGTTGACTCGCACCGATCACCCCTTTCGTACCAAAAGGGAAACCCGACGATTACTATGATAAGACTCGCAGGGGGTTAGGATATGAATCCCCACCATTGACATTATGCTTTGAAGAAAATTAAGAGTTGGAAGGTCACCTCATCAATTCTTCATCTGAATCGACATACTGGGATTCATATGTTAGCACTGACGCCATCTTCAAGGAACTCATAGTCAACATGACATCAGCTTAGCCAATAGAGACTCAAGAGGATGATCAATTACCCTTGTTTGAAGATCCATTGGGTAGCAACTTGGCATACAATGGGAAAATCGTTTTGAACAATGTGAACCTCCTACTGACGATAAAATGATTCAAGTGCATATGGGAGATGAGTCTAACTCGAAACCCATATTCATAAGTGATAGCCTATCACCTGAAGAAAAGGAAGATCTTGTCGCTCTTGTTCATGAATATATTGATGTCTTCGCTTGGAATTATGAGGACATGTCGGGTCTTGATCCTCGGGTGACCATTCATCGCCTCAACATTAGACCAGACGCTAAGCCTGTTAAGCAACAACAATGGTGATTTCGGCCCCAGATCATGGAGGCAATTTAAATTAAGGTTAAAAAGCTCATTGAATCAGGATTTATCTGCGAGGAACAACATCCTGATTGGGTGGCCAATATCGTTCCTGTCCTAAAAAAGAACGGGACGATTCTAGTATGCATTGACTTCCGAGATTTAAATTCGGCTTGTCCAAAGGATGATTTTCCTTTACCCATCACAGATGTTATTATTGACAATACGTGCAGGTTTGAAAGGATGTCCTTTATGGATGGATTCTCATGGTACTACCAAATTAAGATGTATCCTGATGACGAGAAACACACTTTTTTCTGAACATCTTCTGGGATATACTGCTACACAGTAATGCATTTCAAATTAAAAAATACGGGTGTTACGTATCAACACGCCATTACTATCATCTTTTAAAAATATTTACGAAAGACTGTGGAATGTTATGTTGATGACCTGGTTGTCAAAAGTCATGACAACAGAGACCACTTACATGATTTGAGAATAATATTTAATCTCATGCGGACACACCAATTGAAGATGAACCGAACAAAATCATTCTTAGTAATGACTAGCGGTAATTCTTTGGGTTCATAGTCACGGCTAACGGAATTCGCCTTGACCCGGACAAAGTAAAAGCTATTCAAGAGCTTCCGCCTCCAAAAAAAACTTAAGGAACTTTGTAGTCTACAAGGGCGTTTAGCGTACATTCGTAGGTTCGTCTCTAACCTATCCAGTAAGCGCCAGCCATTCTCAGGACTCATGAAAAAAGGGGTATCCTTCATATGGGATGAGGCTTGTTAGAAAGTATTTGAAGAGATCAAACAATATCTCTCTAGTCCACCCGTATTGATTGCACCAAAGTCAGGTAAACCATTCCTAATATACATTCGAGCTACAGAGCATGCCTTAGCAGGACTCTTAGCACAAGATGATGATAATGGCCATGAGCAGGCTATATATTATCTCAGTAGAACTTTATCCTGAGCTAAACCTCGCTATCCTCCTATTGAGAAGGAATGCTTAGCTCTGGTCTTCACAGTCCAAAAATGTGATATTATCTAGTTAGACAAACCGTACATGTCATTTCTCAGATCAATCATTTGAATAGATCAAACAATATCTCTCTAGTCCACCCGTATTGATTGCACCAAAGTCAGGTAAACCATTCCTAATATACATTCGAGCTACAGAGCATGCCTTAGCAGGACTCTTAGCACAAGATGATGATAATGGCCATGAGCAGGCTATATATTATCTCAGTAGAACTTTATCCTGAGCTAAACCTTGCTATCCTCCTATTGAGAAGGAATGCTTAGCTCTGGTCTTCACAGTCCAAAAATGCGATATTATCTGGTTAGACAAACCATACATGTCATTTCTCAAATCAATCCCATACAGGTGTTCATGATACAGCCCGGTGCATTGAACTGGAGACTTGCAAGATGGGCGTTATTGCCTTGACCCGGACAAAGTAAAAGCTATTCAAGAGCTTCCGCCTCCAAAAAAACTTAAGGAACTTCGTAGTCTACAAGGGCGTTTAGTGTACATTCGTAGGTTTGTCTCTAACCTATCCAGTAAGCGCCAGCCATTCTCAGGACTCATGAAAAAAGGGGTATCCTTCATATGGGACGAGGCTTGTTAGAAAGCATTTGAAGAGATCAAACAATATCTCTCTAGTCCACCCGTATTGATTGCACCAAAGTTAGGTAAACCATTCCTAATATACATTCGAGCTACAGAGCATGCCTTAGCAGGACTCTTAGCACAAGATGATGATAATGGCCATGACCAGGCTATATATTATCTCAGTAGAACTTTATCTTGAGCTAAACCTCGCTATCCTCCTATTGAGAAGGAATGCTTAGCTCTGGTCTTCACAGTCCAAAAATGCGATATTATCTGGTTAGACAAACCATACATGTCATTTCTCAGATTAATCCCATACAGGTGTTCGTGATACAGCCCGGTGCATTGAACTGGAGACTTGCAAGATGGGTGTTATTGCTATCCCAGTATGATATTCACTTTAAACCTCAAAAGGCAGTGAAAGGTTAAGCTATTTGTGATCTTATGACCAATCATCCATTGGACGGGAAGGTCAAATTGTACCAGGATATACCAGATGAGATGTATGAAGCCAATATCATATCAAAAGAACAGGTGTGACAATTATACTTTGATGGCACAGCGAGAGCGAGCCCTACTGGTCTAATTGTTGCCGGAGTGGGGGTAGTCTTCATTTCCCTCATAAAATCATGTGCTACCTCGAGCTGTTTTCTTAACAGAGCCATGTTCTAATAATATGGTCGAATACAATGCTTTGTTTATCGGCCTTGACATAACCAAACAACTGAGGGTGAAGCATCTAGAGGTTTATGGTGATTCACAACTCATCGTCAACCAGATAAAAGGAGAATATGAAGTTAGGAATGAAGATCTTATTCCCTATTACACCGCAACCACTACGCTGGCCAACTCCTTTGAGTGCTTCTACATTGATTATTTACCTCGCCTTAGGAACACATATGACAACGCATTAGCATCACTTGCAGCTATACTAGCTCTGCCTGAAGGAGCTACCCAGCAAGTCATAGTAGTTAGCAGACAGTTGTTCCGACCTAAGTACGCACTACAAATTAACGCTATCGACAAAGCGCCAGAACCTCTCGAACCTAGAGATTGGCAATTCTTGATCATTAATTATGTCTTCTACTGCTCACTACCTAAAGACATCAGAGAAAGAAAATCTGTTCGCAGACGAGCGCTTAGATTCTACTATAATTCTCAGTCCCAAACTTTATATCGAAGGTCATATGACGGACTATTGCTTCACTGCTTGTCAAGCAAAGAAGCTCTTAAGGAGGCTCATGGTGACATCTGTGGAGCTCATCAGCTCAGCCCTAAGTTATGGGACTGACTTCGCAAACTGGGTTATTATTGGCCAAGTATGGTTAGGGACACCGCTGCTTATGCTAAATAATGTCATGCATGCCAAATACATGCTAATTACATGCATCATCCATCCGAACATCTTCATCCATCAGCCACTTCATAGCCATTTGAGACGTGGGGTATGGACATTATTGGCCCGATATCCCCACCCTCTTCCAAGGGACATTACTTCATTTTGGTGATAACTGACTACTTCTCCAAATGGGCAGAAGCAATCCCATTAAAAGAAGTCAAGACAAGTGCTATAGTTAAATTCATAAAATATCACATTATATACAAGTATGGTGTTCCTAGATGTATCATCCATGATAATGGGCCTCAGTTCGTTAGCTAAGCCTTCACTCGATTCTGCGATAAATTTAGAATCAGGAATTTAGCCTCAACAACCTACAACCCTGCTACTAATGGGCAAACAGAAACTTTCAATAAGACCATTGTCAAAATTCTTACTAAGATGGTTTTGACAAAAAAAGGGACTGGAATGAGAAATTGGGTCAAAGTTTGTGGGCTTATCGCATAATGGTTCGTACACCGATAGGTGCAACACCATACTCCCTGGTATACGGGTGTGAAGTCATATTACCACTGGAAATCTAAATTCTATCTCCTCAGATAGCACTTGTAACAGGCATGACGATAGAAGAAAATCACCGTAGACGTCTTGAAGAGCTAGAGCTATTAGACGAAAAGCGACTACAGGCTCAAATACATATCAAATTCTATCAAGCTCGGATTTCCAGAGCATTCGATAAGAAAGTCATAAACCGTACATTCAAGGAAGGTGACCTGGTTCTCATCGTCCGATGCCTAATGATTCTAATCTCCAAAAAGAAAGGGAAGTTTGAGCCAAAATGGGAAGGACCATTTGTAATGAAAACTGCCTACTCAAATGGAGCATATCGCCTTATAACTCAAGATGGCGATAAACTCTTGATGCCTATTAATGATAAATTTCTAAAAAATACTACCTGTAGGCTTTCAATCAAATCTGCATCACGACAGAAGGAGATTCTCTCTTTCAAATCTTTAAGAGGTGAACTAAGGTAATAAATGCTTTATTTGTTATCCTTCAAATTCCTCCACCAATCCTCTTCAATAGGATGGTAGGACCATAAAACTATCACATTTATGATTACCTCTGACAGTCGATGCTTAACTTTTATTCAAAAAAATACTTTTCCAAAATAGTGACCTACTATGTGATGTGTTGCTATTTCCATCATCGTCGTCATACTCCTAAGTCACTGAATGATATGATCCCCCTAACGTCATCATTCTCACAAATGATGTTTGTTTTTCTAATAGCGACCTACTATGTGATGTGTCGCTATTTCCATCATCGTCATCATACTCCTAAGTCACTGAACGACATGATCCTCCTAACGTCGTCATTCTCACAAATGACGTTCGTTTTTTCAATAGCGACCTACTATGTGATGTGTCGCTATTTCCATCATCGTCGTCATACTCTTAAGTCACCGAATGACATGATCCTCCTAATGTCGTCATTCTCACAAATGACGTTCATTTTCTAATAGCGACCTACTATATGATGTGTTGCTAGTTCATCATAGTCATCATACTTATATATCACTGAACGACATGATCCTCCTAACATCATCATTCTCACAAATGACGTTTATTTTTCAATAGCGACCTGCTATGTGAGGTGTTGTTATTTCAATCAAGATCATCATACTTTTGAGTCACTGAACGATATGATAATCCTAACGTCGTCATTTTCATAAGTGATATTCGTTTTCCTATAACAAGCTTACCATGTGACGAGCTTCATTTTCACATTCCCAAAACTTGATTATAACTTAGTTTTTTTATCACACATTTGATCCAATGCCTAGAAAGGCTAAGGATAGAGGAAAAATCTTAGCACTTGAGTCTAAGAGAAACTCTTCGATAACTCATCATACTGAGGGGGGAAGTATGCTAGTCCAACTCAAATGGCAGTTGGTAAAAAATATTAAGTCCGTAGATAGCTGAGGGTTTGCTAAAAATCCTAAGTTACGATTATTAATTACACAAAAGAAGAGAAAAATCTATGGATAAAACTATAAATTTTATTCATATAATGATTAAAGTTACAACTACAGAGAGTCGAAGTACATAGATTGAACTTAGAAAACTCGAACTACACTACGAGGTTCAGTTAAAAGTTCTTTCAAAAACCTTTGAACTACACTACGAGGTTCAGTTACAAGTTCTTTCAATGACCTTCGGAGCTAAACTACGAAGTTTGGTTACAAGTTCTTTTGACAACCTTCGATAACACCTTCATGTTCAATTTATTGAGCCTTTTACAATAGTGTTGAGCTTCGTTTTCAACAACATTGCGGTTCTTATTGTTGAAGTTCCATCTTCCATTCCTTGGCATGAAGTCTTCCCCATGCCCGACTTTTAACTTTGGTACTGGTAGTACACGCCTATCTACTTGGGTAAACTGAGTACTAATAGAAACACCATAAGCTCTGAGCATAGGATCAGCATCTTCCCTCATTCTAATGGAACATGGATGAGTTACAGAGTGAGGTGACATCTTTAAAATAGCTCCTGACACTCGTGAGAAGAAGGATAAGTGCTTCAGTGGGTCCGCCAAGCTACCACATAGCCCAAGGTCTAAATGAAGGGTTGCATGCTTGGGGGTGCATGCCATGTTGAAGGGGTAAACAGGATTGAACCTAGGATATCTCTTTGGGGTTGCATTCGAAAGTCCAGCAAGTTGCTGAAAAACATCCTGACTTTGGTTCTGAAAGATTGAGAAATTCTCAAATGGATGAGCCACTACAAAGAGCAAAAGGACAAAGTTAGCACGAGGTTCGTCAGACAAGTGAACTTCGTCAGACAAGTGAGCCTCGTCAGACAAGAGAGCCTCGTCAGACAAGTGAACCTCATCAAACAAAGGAGCCTCATCAAACCAATAAGTTTTGTTAGAAAAATAGATATCTTTCAACTGAGGAATAGGGTTAAAAGAGTGAATTTCATCAAACCAACAAGTCTCATTATACAAGAAATGCAACGAACAGTTAAGGGAAAGATTGTTAATCTACCCAACAAAGGCTTAATTTTTCTAAGCATAAATTTTGTGCTGGTGGAGATATGTGCAATTTAATCAGAGTTTACCTAAAGCAGTGGCGTCGATCAAAGGGACAATGATATCAATTTTGCTTACCTCACCGACGACGATCATTGAAGACAGAAAAACTTGAAGCTGTGAAGGGGATAAAGAGGGGAGCATTGAAAAGCAGAAACTTCTTTGAGTCATTTTGTTACACGGCTCAAAGAAGAAGGTGATGATTCTTCTCGAAGAGTGATGGACTATTAATAGGCATAGAAGCCAACCAAGTGGCTGGAATCCGTTACATGAATCCCTAAGCGCCAGATATTCAAGAGGTGCTGGAACTGAAGAGACGCATTCAATGCATTCGTACTTAACGCAGATGGAGCACGATTTGGCAGGGCACATTAAGTATTAAGTACTTATTGCTACCCCTAACAAAGCGACGGATCCATGTGAATCAACAGGTTGGGAACTGTTGGAGTCCGATTGTCTTCATTTAATGAGATTAAGTCCTACTCTAAATTCCAAACTGATGAAGGTCACATCTCCTACGGAGCTCGAATTTCAAGACTCAGTTGAGACCAGTTTGAACTTCGTCTTTGAAGATCAAAATGATGAAGGTCACTGTTTTGATCGAGTTTGAATTTCGACACTCGATTGAGACAAGTTTGAACCTCGTCTTTGAATTTCAAAATGATGAAGGCCATTATTTCGATCGAGCTCGAATATCAAGACTCAGTCGAGACTAAGTTGAACCTTGTCTTTTGAAGTTCAAAATGACGAAGGACATTTGTTGCAAACGAGCTCAAATTTTGAGACTCAATTGAAATCAATTTGAACCTCATTTCAAAGGTTAAAAAGGATGAAGGTCATTATTTCTCGAATATCGAGGTTCGGTTGAAATTAGTTTGAACCCTATGTCCAAACATTGGAAGAACGAAGGTCATGAGTTCGAACTAGACTCGAATAGTGAGATTTAGTTGAAATCAGGCCGAACCTCACCTTAAAACTTCTAATTGACAAAGTTCGTTGAATGTCAAGGCTTATTCAGAATAAGGTTCAACAAAATTTGAACTTCATCTTGAAGTTCCAAGGCTAATCTTATCATGATGAAGCTCGTTGAAACCAATGAACCTTGCCTTAATGAAGTGAACCTCGTCAGAATAACTTTGAAAAAGTTCTATGTGTTGAGACTCATTAAGACAAGTCCTATGCCAATACACAAGCATTGAGTAACTTAAGAACTTCAGAAAAAAAATAATACACAAAGGAGAAATTCGATGGATAAAAGCATAACTTTATTGATAAAATATCACTACAAAAGTTCAACAATTTTGCGGATTTCCTCATCAAGTTGATCTATGGATTCTTGGTATGCCACTTCAACCTCCACCATCGCTTGCTTATGCAGATCATCATCAGAAAACACTTTCATATTACTTATGACATTTTCTAGCTTCTCCAAATCATTGAGCTCAGCCTGAAGCGATGTTTGGTATTCTGCCTGTTTGGTTGCCAAAGTTTGTCATGTTTCCATTACGCTCTTCAACTCATTCTTTGCTTCTGCCAGCTTAGCTTGGATGTCAGCAAGCATAGCTTTATAAGATTCAACTAAGAGCCGCTGGTTACATTTAGTGTTAGCAACCTTTTTGTCCTCACTGGACAACTTTTCGCTGACCCCCTTGAGCTCTTTGACATTTTGCTTCTTCTCAAGCACTTGGCATTCAAGCTCAAACAGAGAATCATCCCTTTACCTTAAGAACTTCATAGCGCGTTCTTCAGCTATAGGGAAGAGAGACTGACTGCGTTGATCCTGTCACTTTTTGAAAAGGCTTTCAACCTTTGCCAAATGTGTCCAGTATGGCAGTGTGGCTATACTGTTAGTCAGGTCA